CTGGTAGTGGGGATTCAACATTTTGAAAAGAATACATCAATAAATCATGATAATTTAGTAAGAATCAACCTGTAAATTTAGTCAAAGGATCAAGTAATATTTAAAGAATGGACAATCCCCAGCCAACTTAGTCAGACAATTGACTTGGTAACCATAAAATTCTAAGTTTAACTCCTCATGTGAGCTATCTATTGACCATCTTAATTTGAGTTGATCATCTATAAATAATCTAGGTTGATCATAAGACGAACTTTACCCATAAAGCAATTTCAAGTAGGGGTGGTAAGTTTTGGCGTAAATCAAAGTAATATTTAAAGATATGGGATGGGGCATGGCAGTATTAGAATTGTTTCGAAAGTGGTTGTCTAATGTGATCTACTAATTTCCATTGACATTATGTAGTTGATAAAAAGAAATAAAACATTACTAAATGACATTGATTAAGGTGAACCAAATTTACTTTAATTGGACCGATTATGTTAATAGAGTGGAAAGAACATCAATGGCTGGGGATAAGGTTGTAATAACTAGAATAAGGGTTGACTTTGTGGCAATTTGTTATGTGTGGTGAAATTAGTGGCTTAAACTTTTCCTAACATGCCTTGTATTATTCCAAGTGGATTTTGATGAAAACAACCACTGTCAATTCTTATACTAAAAAGGGTGTACCAAAAAGTCACGGGTGGTTGGAGCATGGTTTTCGTATCAGAAACTCACAAACACGATTTTTGTTAATACCATTTCTCAGTCGAGTCCGATGCATAAGGTTTTCCTAGTATACAAGCATTTGGGAGCATGTAGGCCGTTGAGGCATACTCTACAATTTATCTCTTCCACTAATCTTTAGGACAAAAACAGTAAGGGACCCTTAAGATTGATGTTCAAACTTATATATGTATTGTAAAGAAAAATTAAGAAATATCATTATCGCCAAGGACTTTGTGGTAATGGCACCAAGTTGTTCTCACATATAGGAGGTTGTGGGTTTGAGCATCAATGGAGGTAATATTGACTCTTTGTGCTTCAGTAGGTTGAGAAAGTAGTTATGAACAAATCGATACTGCATTGTAACAAAGTCAATAGTACTCCAAAAAAAAAAATCAATTTCAAACGATTTTTTTCCGCCATTAAACTAATTATTGTATTATTGGTAATATACTATCTCTAATAGTACCTCAGATAATTACATGAAAAAATTATAATATCGATTGATATTGATTCCATCCGATACGATTGTGTGTGTGTATATATAGTTAAATCATAAGTGATTTTAACTATTAAAATCAAAAGTGATCGATATATATAAAAGAAAATTTTATAATTTCTATTGACAGTGATACTATTCATATGATTTAACAATTAAATAGTGAACAAAAATGGGATAATGAGAATATGGTTTAATTTTCATATCTCACTTGTCACTCTAGACTATACAAGAATTTTTATTGAAGAGAACATGGCTTTCCTCACTAGTGAGACAAAACCCCATCTTCCATTATCAAGACCACTATCTTCTTTCAATATCAATTCAGCTCCTTGATGGTAGAAAAGACTGTGATAACGAAAGCTTTCATTATATTGTCTTGTGCTCTATTATTATTGTATATATATATGTTTGCTTTTCTTGAAGACAATAGTGAGTCAAAGCTTTTGGTTTTAATCAATGACAAAATTATTAGTAAAAATTAAAGCATTTATTATAAGAACTCATCAACTTGCAATGAACTTTTTCATGAAGAAACTGATGAGTCATTATATTCCATGCCAAACTATGAATAGACAGGGATCTTCTCTTAGTCTATCTAGTGGCCAAGAGGGAGGGAGTCGGGAGAGACTTTCAACTTTAAAGTTACGAGTTGCAGTCTTATCAAGAACAACTTTATTAGTATAAGATGTATTATTATTTGAGAATAGTTACTACATCAAAAGTTTTATTACTATCCAATGTGTACCTTTATTTTCTTATACTACAATTACTATATAACAGGCAGCGTTACATGTGTTTCAAATCCACATCAAATGGTAAGATGCTAGATTTATCCTCCAGCCATCGTCCAACACACCCTTCGGTGTGAAAGTTACATCCATCACTTGAATTTACTGCGAGTATAGTATATTTTATAGATGCTTAAGAGAAATGTATGAGACTAGAATTACAAAAGGATAAACTAAAGTGTAATGATAACTGTCAAGCACTTTGTGCTCAGATGACACATATGGAGCTCTCCTTGAGGGACGATCACAGGATCGAACCCCGGTGGGGTCTTGACTCTTTGGAATGTAATAGATTGAGAAAGTATATAACATATACTACATTGTAATAAAGTCAATAGTATTTAAAAAAAGTGTAATGATAACTAATTCAACGAGTATAAATTGCCTAATATTATATTAGACAACATAACTAGGCTCCACATATATAATAGTTATTGGCGTATTATTTGGTGGCAACGTTCAATCGAGTTATTGGTCAGCTAGTTGGTTTATTAACCACAAGATTCTAAGTACAACTCTCTGTGGAAATTACCTATTAACCTTCTAGGTTTGAGTCAGTCGGTTATAGACAATGGGAAACCTAGAATGATTTACCTCTTTATTGTCCTTTGCAGACTAGGGTCAAAATGCGGTCTTCAACTAGAGTACAACTTTGGCTAGCGGGTGCAGATTTTTTCGTAAATCAAAATTATTAGTATATTATAAATTATAATTATATTGGTGTATTATAGTCGAATTGTACTCGTCATATTGAATAAAAAAAAAAATTGATTGAAGACTGTAAGGATGGATGGGGATGGATGGTTTGCATTGTTCCACACCATAGGAAGAGCTGAAGAAGAATTATTATTTATGACATTGAAATAAATTTGAAAAGTGTAACGATCACCCACTTGTTAATAAAATTGACAATTCCATAGAGCAGAAGCCAAAGGGCAACCTTGAAATCATGTGATTGGTCTGACAACATATCACCCATGCTACTACAACATTTGGTGTACCATTTCTCATTCATCGTGCCCATTTTCACCTTTTTTTTTTTTTTTTTAATGAATCATACCTTTTATTCGTTTTAGTATCTATGGTTTTCTATTCCTATCTTTACTTCACCTAGATACATTCACATGTATGTATACAATACAATGTAAACTGTATTTGTTGGGATTAGGCGGAAGCTTGAGAGTTCAGTCTAACATATTGTTATCGAAATGTGGCGATGACTGTTAGTTACACTACTATATATATGAAAATAAAGTAATGCATTCATTACTAGCAGCTATAACTTTTAATGTAGTAGTAAGCGTTTGATTATATATATTATTTTTAAAATATAATGTTATCCATAATAATTAGACCTAAGTTATTTATGTGAATAACCCTTGGGGCACGGGCTAAGAGCTACTTGATAGGGAATATCCTCTAGGCATACGCCCATTTATGTGCTCGGTATATATGCTTAGGACCGAGAGGTCCATTTCTCGAGCACAACCGACCGTATTGAGTCTATTCCGATCCGGGTACGTATAGCCAAAAAGACAATCCTTACGGAGTTATTCGTCATTATGCCTTCTGTCCCGCGCGCACTCGGGATTAATTTCTCGACCTTACATGCTCGGATCAGGTATCCCGAACATAGAGTTCACAACATTAGAAGACAAACACAACTACATTGTTCCGCTCGATCACATCGTAATAATACAAATGTCAGGAACCACGTTGTACGTGGACGTATCGAAGAGCCGAAATGTGCATTTAATAACTAGAAAGAGACTTTTGACTTCCATTCATATTACACTTAAACTCGGAAACGTTTGACCAGATACCAAGTCTCCGGAGACTATACACCGATAATAATAATGTGGTAGGATGTGTAACATGGCAATGCCAGTATTTAAAATAGTAAATCACAAGATTAAAAATTACGGAGTATAAGAAAACTTTTAATTACCCAAAGAACCCTAAATAAGGCATGAAACTCATTTTGAAACTTTCTCCATTTGCTAAAAAGTGAAAACATTTAGACTATCTCACACTGACATTTTTCCTAACTTCAATGTGGGACAATATAAACTTTCAAGCCTTTCCAAGTCTTTTTTTCTTTCTCAGCTCAACTTCGTAAATCAATTTCAGATTTACTTATTATCACGATTAAGCGTTTACTAGTACATCAAAAGTTATACTAATAGCAAATATACAACTTTATTTCCTTATACTTGCATAGTAGTCAGTGTCACGTTTCGATAACAAAAAATTAAACTCGACTCTCCAAGTTGTCGCCAAACTCCTATTTACCATTTTGAGTATATATAAATATGCGAATTCATCTTCTCACTTAAGAGAATCAATACGACTCTAACCTGATCTAAATTGTTAATTAATTGACTATACTTAAAATACTATCTCAAAAATAACTACATACGTACCAACTTTTAAACATAAAACACCCCTATCAAAATAATCGCAACAAATAATTTGATGATCAGAAAATGACAAATTTTTACCACCTTATGCCTCTAAAATAATTGGTGAACATTCAAATTATTTGTTGCAAATTAAACTTATTCATATGTTTGTGAATAGAAGTACTTTTGGTCGATCGTACTACAATAATTTGTGGGAATCATATCGCCATGGCAAGTGGGTTTCTTTCTACGACCGTTGCATCTATTTCAGTGACAGTTAGTTGACTACTTTCTACAACGTTGAATTGATCGATAGCCAATGTCTTTGTTAGGGCTTGCACCAAGTGGATTCTGAAAAGTAAAAATTGTGCTTTTTGTTAAGTGTAATTTTTTTTTTTAGTACTACTGACTCTGTTACAATGTAGTATCTGTAATAACTACTTTTTTAATCTACTGAAGTATAAAGAGACAATACTGTTCCACTGGCCGGGGTTCAAACCCATGACCTCCCATTTGCTTTTAAGTGTAAATTTAATCTTAAATTAATCACCATTTTAGTCCGTCAATTGCTTTCCAACTGTCAATGTAGTTCATAGTTTTCAATTTCAACCAATTTGATTATCGAATTATTTAAAATTTCGTCAATTAAATCTTTTAGTGACTAAAATGGTGATTTTCACATTTTAAAAATTTCATCAATTTGGTCTCTGAAAGGGTTTAATTGGCAAAATTTTAAACAATTCGATGATTAAATTGGTTGAAATTGAAAATTATGGATTACATTGACAGTTAAGAAACAGTTGATGGACCAAAATGTTGATTTCCCTTTTAATCTTTAAATAATTTGAGATGCATATTTTGTCCCTCTATATATATATATATATATATATATAGTGGCGCTTTTTAATTTGTTAGTTTTGGACATAAAAAATTGAAAATCTTTGCGTTGTAAGGTTAATTTGGTGTTTTAAGCATTAATGTTCTTTTTACATATTCCTTATTTTTTTTTTAATGCTACTAGCTCTATTACATATTCCTTATTTGATTCATGTCATTTTCAATTTAAGGGACCGCAAGTCTTGGATAAGCAACTTGTTATATTTTACCATATCACACACATCAAATTACTAATTAACGAATTGAATCTACAGTGCACTAAAGATATATATAACGACTCAGAGGCAAAAAAAAAAAAATGTTAATTTTGCTTTTAAAATTTGTTGCACTCATATATGTATAACAAGAATTGAAGTTACACCTATCCAAAAAAAATAGAAGTTACAAGTTGGATTTTTATTTAAAGAACCAATGAGAAATTTAATTTTATAAGTTTGAACACCAAACTTGTATAAGAACCCTTAGCTTATTGCTCATGTCTTAGAGACAAATAGATGAGATAAACTGTGAGGTGTCTTAACTGGTCTCTAAATAATTATACACTAATACTCACAACAATGTCAAATTTATACCTTTTTTTTTTTTAAATCATTGGTACGGTTCGGACCTTTCATATAAAAGTTTCATGAAGAACTATTGTAAATATATTTCCATTTGTTACATAATTATTAGTTGAAATATATAGTTGTACTTTAATTATACTTATCTATATATTGTACTAAAAAATACTTATCTATATATTAAAAAAAAAAAATTGTTTCACCTAATCTCAATTTGGCACTTTAGACCGGATGAGTACGTGCCCCTCTAAATGGCAAATACCGTTTTTCCACTTTGCTATACATTGAATATATGTTTTAAGGATAATATAATGTTACTTTCCCAAATATATAATCTTTTTGCACCAAATTTGGGTTGAAACGATATGACTTAATAATATTAGCTCAGGTTGGACTTGCTAATTTTATACCATTCATAAACAACTAATGAATGTACAACTTACCCCACATCACATTCTTCGAAACAACTTTAAAAACAAAAAATTAAGAATCAAACTAGGTATACAAAAGTTTGATTTGTGAAAAAGTCCACAATCACTATTTGAATCTGTTCTTTGGTAAAGCTCTCATTGTGACCCTAACCAGCAAAGAGCCACAATAAGGTAAACTAGCCTAGTATCAGCTGACAAGCTCAAAAAAAAAAAAAAAAAAAAAAAAAAAAACATATGAGTTACTAAATGGATATATTGGGAACGGATCTGGAACAAACTGACCCAAGCCAATAGAGAAAGTCAACCCAGGCCAGCCGCGGATATCAAAGTCAACATCGGTGCCTCGAGGCCGACCTCAGCGGTCGCGTCCTTGGGCACCCAAGGCCCCGTGCCGAGCGCTCGGCCTCGGAGTTGGGGGGGTTACGGGGGCGACTTTAGTATGAAAGAGGTCATTCCTTGTCTAAGCAAATCATCCTCATCTTGTCTTCATATTACAGAACTTGTAATTTTCTTGCAAATCACCTAAATACAAGACTTATTATCCTCCGAGGTGAAAACATTGTCTTACGTATTTACCTTGTTTTATCCCTTTATTTATTAGTATTAGTTAATTCAGATCCCTGATTAATTAATTTCATCAATCACGAAATAAACAAAATTTTAGTACAAATAATATTTTGTATGCCTTAGTTACTAGGAATAAACAAGATTATTGATCCGGTGATATGAGTTTCACAAAACCACTACTAGCCAACATATGCATGGATGACTATGCAAGAAAAAAGGAGTTAATTAAGGCTTAATTTAATGGAATAATTAATTTAGTGGATAATCCAACATTCCAACAACAGCTGAAAAGCTATGGCAAAATGATATAAAAACAAGACATTTCCAATAATGGAGCAAATTAAATTAAAGGAATTGAAGTCCTTTTTATCTTTGATCATTTGTTAATTAATTATGCCTGCATTTTGAAGTTGGTTATTGACGTTGTTGGCAGTTGGCACATGGAATCCACGATTCGTTAGTTAAATGGCAACATCCTTAATAATAAATTAGGAACGAGAAAATACCAATTTTGGTCCTATGAGTATTAGCAAAATGATAGTTTTAGTCTACATGTTTAATTTCCACCAATTTTCATCCACGACTATTGTTTTAGTGTCAAAATTTATCACGCCGGTCACTCATTCATTTAAGAAATGTTAAAATTTAAAATTTTGAAGGATATTTTCGTCCTTTTCAACTTAAGATCTCAATTTGAGCATGAATAATGAAATTTAAGCCCTAAGATCGATCCTAATTCACAGTTCTCATCCTCATCTTACCTTAATTTAAGGAGGAAAATTGTGAATTGGGATCCATCTTAGGGCTTGAAATCCTTTATTAATGCTCAAATTGAGATCTTAATTTGAAAAAGATGAAAATACCCTTAATAATTTCATATTTCGGTATATCTAAAACGGAGGGGTGACCGGTGTGATGAATTTTGACACTAAAACAATAGTCATGGATGAAAATTGGTACTAAAACAATAATTGTGGATAAAAATTGGTAGGAATTAAACATGTGGACCAAAACTGTCATTTTACTAATACTCGTGGGACTAAAATTGGTATTTGCTCATTAGGAATTAACTCATCAACTCGTCTGAACTAATATAAGGTGATTCACTATCAAGATCAATCAACGAAGATGCAACTTAATTTATTTCTCTAAATTTATTTCTCTAGCACTGGAGAAATAAAGTTAAACTTTCGTTGCTTGATTCAATAGCAACTTTATTGCTAGCAATCTCTTTCTAAATCAATACATGAGAGTTTTATGTTTTCACTTTTTAATTTGAATCAAATGTTTATTACTATGTCAAAAGTTATATCTAATAACAAAGATACAACTTTATTTTATCATACTTTTGTAACAGTCAACACCATGTTTCGATGACATGATATTGTACTCAGCTTTTCAAATCGATACCCAAAGTCAATGTCAAATATGATCTACATTTACTTCACAAGAGTGGCATAGAAATTGAACACACATGCAAATATGGCCATTTAATGTAGTATGATCTATCACTTGAGAATTGAGATGCCCCAAATTGAGATTTTGGTGTATAATTGACACTAAAATTGGCTTGCCCCTATAATTAAAGGACATATAATTTGGTTGTGGGTCAAAAGTGTAACTAATCCTAATTAAATAAGGATTACAATATGTTAGGATCATATATGTTTTGTGAAGTTGTATTATTATTTGTTTTAGAAAAAAAAATATAAGGTGAAGAGAGTATGAATGCACCAAACAGTACGTACGACATCACTCATGGCATCATTACGTGACTATAGTCAAATGTGGCTTTTTTTTTTCTTGAATTATGTTACTTTTATGTCACATTATATATTTACCAATTGGTATACCAATTGTAAAATGAATTATTGACAAACATATTTATTTTTAATATATCAAAATTTGATTTTTGAGCAAATATCAATTTTGGTCCTAAGGGTATTAACAAAATGACAGTTTTGGTCTACATGTTTAGTACCAAAATTCATCACGCCGATTACCCATTCGTTTAAGACATGCTCAAATATGAAATTATTAAGGGAATTTTTATCATTTTCAAATTAAGAAAATTGTCCGATCCTTTGTGCTCCTAAATGAATGGGTGACCGGCGTGATGAATTTTGGTACTAAAATAATAGTTGTAAAATTGGTAGGAATTAAACATGTGAACTAAAACTGTCATTTTGTTAATACTCGTCGGACTAAAATTGGTATTTTCTCTTTGATTTTTAGTATACTATATGTTCAATTTTTGAATGTTCATTTTTATTGTATTAATAAGCCTATAATATATACTAATAAATTTAATAAGAGCCAATAAAGTTATGTCTATACAGAAATTAAAATTGTTGGTCCAATTGTTTGTTAGAATAAATGGTTTATATTATTTTGATTTAAGTATTTTTTTATTTTTATTTTTCCTACTTTAGCCTCTATTATATCATTTACTTTTCCTAAACCTCCATTCCGTCAGTGTAAACTTTAGTAATGAAATATTCCGTTAACTATTTATTATTCTTAACTTACTCATTTATTTTCATAAGGAATGTCTTAAGTTCAAATCCCGTCCCAATCAGAGTTGGCATAATTGTTGAACATATATTATGAATATTTTTTTTTTGAAAATATATATTATGAATATGAATGTATTAAAGAAATACATTATAAAATTTAACATAACTTTGGTCAATTAATTAGCCAGACTATATACATAGCATTCAAAGTTTAGATCAAAGATTACAAATAAGGAATCTTGAAAAAAAATATTCCCCCCCCCCCCCCCCCCCCCCAATCTCTTTCGTTTAATTAATCTTCTTTTGATTATTTAGAGCAAAATTCAATATTTTAATAATGCTTTTAAATTATTGTGAATAATTTAGGTCATTATGGTATTAATATTTTTTGTCTGTATTTCTATATTAGCACAATTGTAAATTGTTCTTACATCATTACAGCAACCCAATTAGGGGTTTTTTTTTCCATAGATTTTGCATACCTAAAATCCTTTTTTTTTTTTTTTTTGTGGTTTATTTTTCTCTAATGCAAATAAGGTTTTTAGTGGGGTCTATAAAAATTGATGAATAAATGAAAAGAGACTTCCAGGTGCACGTTGGGCGCACTTGTCAAGCTCTATTAGCACGCGCCAGCGCGTAAATATGTTTAATTATAATTTTTTTTATATAATTTGTTAGCTTTTTCTTTTTTTTTTTTCCTTTTTTTTTCTTCTATTTTTTCTCTTTCCTCTTTTTTTTTTTTTTTTTTTTTTTTTTGAAAATTCCTCATTCTCTTTTCTATTTGGCATGGTAAAAACCCACAAAAAAAACTACACTAATGAGCTTGCTCTTAAAGTTTCATACCTAATCTGACTCTTGATATACACTTTTTATTTAATGATTTAGTCTTTGATAATAAGTTAGTGGGATCACAATTAATGACTTTCAATTGTTATAAGCAACGTTAGAATGGATATCAATTGGGGGGGGGGGGGGGGGAGATATTTAGGGGAACAAAGCATGCATATCTATATATATATATATATATATATATATATATATATATATATATATATATATATATGTGTGTGTGTGTGTGTGTGTGTGTGTGTGTGTGTGTGTGTGTGTGTGTGTGTGTGTGTGTGTGTGTGTGTGTGTGTGTGTGTGTGTGTGTGTGTGTGTGTGTAGTAAGGTTCAAGTGCGGCGTGCGGCGTCATCAATAGTTCAATAAATATACATCATCAACGTTCAGAAAATGCACCACAAAACACACACAAATTAGGTACGCATTACCAAAAACACACCATTAGGTGTGAGTAAAAACACCATACAGTGTTCGGAAATGCATCATTGAGGTGTGTGAGTTATATGGTGTTTTTTTTGGGTCTGTTGTGTATATTTTGGTATTTTTTTGCATTTCATTGTGGTTTGTTTCCCTTACACTGTTGGTGCATGTTGTTAACACTGTTTGTGTATTCTGAAATCCCGCCACACCGCCACACCTAAGGACATCGTCGCATTTGAACTTTTTCCTCTATATAGAGACAAAAGTTCAAATGCAACCGCGTCTTCCCGTGCGGTCGTGCGACCGCTTGACAAAATACACCAATAGTGTTAACAAAAGGCACCAACAGTGTTAGGAAATGCACAAATACACCAAAAAATGAACAACACACCCAAAAAAATGCACCATAACATCCCACACCCTAATTGTGCATTTCCAAACATTATGTGGTGCTTTTATTCAGACCTAAGGGTGCGTTTTGGTGATGCGTACCTAATTTGTGTATGTTTTTTGTTGTGCATTTCCTAACATTGTTCGTACATATTTGTATAACTATTGGTGCGGTCGCACGGGAAGGCACCTAAGCTTATATATATAGAGTCGAGTTCATGAACTCGACTCTATATATATAAGCTTAGGATACCAGGAGAACACACCCTCATGAGAAAATTAAATTATGAACTAATCTCAACCTTACATTTGTAAAAATCAAACGGATCGGATCAGATCATATTTAGAAAAGAAAACAGTGGTATTTTTGTAATTATTGTCGACTTCACTTAGCAAACTTGAACACTTAAATATGCAATATGTAACAACTAAATATGTAAACATGGATAAATTTTAAAATATCAATGAAAAATCTAAATTTTAAATCTAAACCGTAATTATTAGACCCTAAATAGTAAAAAGTGAACCACTAAACAAAATAAAACCAAAAACTCAGTCATAAACTCTAAAATCGAAACTATAAGTGCAATGCACTTTCGCATTTTTGCAGGTGCAATCTCTTAATACTAAATGTGTAATATGTTAATACTAAATGTGTGAACCTGGAATATTCCGTTAACTATTTATTATTAATAATAACTTATTGATTTTTATAAGGAAGGTCTTAGGTTTGAACCCAATCCTAATCAAAATGGACATAATTGTTAAACATATAATATGAATATGTTAGAGTGTATTAAAAAATACAAAATAAAATTTAACATGAACTTTAGTCAATTAATTAGAATCACGTATTTGGCATTGATGAAGCGATACACCTAATTTACAGTATATATTCAACACAAATGAGAAACTATGTCTATTATCAATGTCTTTTTGGGGAAGGAGAACATGATTTTGTTTTTTAATGTGCACTGCGCCAATGCACTAAAATTGCAGTGAAGCTAGCACACCATGGACTAGATCAAATCAATAATTCATTTTTGGCGGAAGTGGCAACAAGAGGAAGCATGGATCGATCACGCCAATTAATAGGGTTTTGTGTTGCAAAAACAATGTTTGGCTACTATCCAGTGAGGGTGCTTTCCTCTAAAACTGTTGTTGTACCAATTAATTCAACATTTCCTCCACAGGTCATAATTATGCATTCTTGAAATATTTATATTTATGAAAAATTTGATAATCCTACATTGATATACGTCAAGATATCAAATGATACTTTGATAAATTCTGAAACACCAATTTAAAAATACATATTAGACATTAGACTATTTACGCAATGCACGTGTCGTAACTAATTTAACCTTAGCTTCTTGTGCCCTTGAAGGCTGCATAAGTCCATCTCATAATTTTTTTTTTAAATTGAGTGAATTTTCAATTAAAAACTAGCACATATACTACACAATACCAATTGTAAATTGTAAAAATCCCTATAATGTGTGTGTGTGTGTTTTTTTTTTTAAATTCTGAAAGCAAGATTAGGAATTAACCAAATCCCAATGCAAACACAAATAACAATGAATATGATATGTCTTTGGTCAAGAATAATAAAACTTCTACCCTTTAGGACATATCCCTAAAACAATGGAAATCAACATAACTAGAAAGAGCATTACAGCCTATCTTCAGCACCCACCTACTCCTTGTTAAGACATGAAATAATATATATATATATATATATATATATATATATATATATATATATATATATATATATATATATATATATATATATATATATATATCCCACAAAGTAGCTAAGGCAGAATCTATAACACATGGTTAGCATAAAATCATGTTTACTTATGATTGCCTCGTACCATGTGATCACCAATCATTGAAGAACTAATTAAGAAGAATAGGTTAAGGTTAAAATCTAGGTCCATATCTTTGCTCATCACGAGGCCTCCTCATTGTTGGCTTTTGTTGCACTAAAAACCAACCATATATCAGTATCAAACAAATTACCACAACACTTTTCATAGTAGTTAGCTTATTATAATCTCAAAACAATTGAACAAAATCACTCCTAGAATATAATGTTTCCAAAAACTAAACATATCTAATTTCATAATACCCATTTGCATGTCTCAACTAATCCCACAAATGCTTTCCTCTAACAAATTAAATCTTATACTCGAGTCCTATTGAATAACTTTATTTTTAAATAAATTAATAAAATTTTGATATATGAGTAATATTTTTAATAGCTACATCTAGTACTTTCTACAAAAATGAAAAGGACCAATCAATTTTGGTCACATAAAATGGTTGATTTTTTTTTAGTTAATTACTGAAATAGTCCCTGACTATACTAAAATTACTAATTTGGTCCTTGACTATTTCTTTTGACAAATTAAATCCCTCAACTTTAAAAATCTTAATCAATTTGGTCTTCCGTTTGTTTTGTCATTAAACATCCATTAACTTGAGACCAAATTGATAATTTTTCTATAGTCAAGGGACCATTTCAGTCATCACATGCACCATTTCCTCCGAAAAATTATTTACCGAAATGGTACCTTGACTATAGCAAAATTACCAATTTGGTCCCAAGTTAACGGATGTCTAACGACAAAACAAACGAAGGACTAAATTAGTTAAACTATTTAAAGTTGAAGGACTTAATTGGTCAAAAAAATAGTCAAGGACCAAATTGATAATTTCGCTATAGTCAAGTGACTATTTCGGTAATTAACTCTTTTTTTCTTTCTACAAAAAAAAAAAAAAAAAAAAAAAAAAACAGTTTCTTCTATAAACTTTTCCCTCGCCCTATATCCTTTTTTTGGTATGGCATTACCGGGATAAGAAATACAAAAATCAATCTTTGGTAAGAATAGTTTTAGGTGAAGTTATTACGCAGATCAAGAGACTGATAGTGTCAAGTTTAGCATCCTACCATTCGAAATATGAGATTGACTACTATGCAAGTATATGGAAAAATGGTTGTGTTTTTGCCACTAGTTATAGTTTTTTACGTAGTGATAAGTTCGTAAGGATTTTATCTTGACAAAAGTATAATTTTCTCCTCATCATAGTGAACATTCAATCTGATCTCCATTTATTTAGGATGATGAGATCAATATTTAGTATTTTTTAAAAAAATGTATTTCTCAAGTAATTGTGTAATTTAGTGTATGTACACTATTGTATCAAATAAATAAATAAAATTCTCGAAGGGGGTGACATAGTGGGTGTAGCATGACTCTTGTACCAAAAGGTCACGAGTGTCAACCACTACTGGAAATTATGGAATTTCCGACCACCTGAAAGTGATTTTAAATCAAGTTGAAAGTCTTGTTCCGACCACTTTTGGTATCCGGAAAAACCTTTGTTGCTATTTCCGACCACTTTTTGAACTTTTTGGTATCAACTTAATTTAAGATCATTTTTAGGTGGTCGAAAATTTCATAATTTCCAGTAGTGAACACTCTTTAGGTTGAATCCATCTTACAGAGTCTTTCTAGTACAATTTACCTTTCCAGTGTGGTTAACAAGTTATTAAATAGGAGTGTAACAGAGTTTACCCAATGCACACCCAGTTTGCAGACTATTACATAAAAGTAAAATTTACCCCATGCACACCCTTAGATAGTCAGATATATAGTAATTGCGAATTTTCTCGTCACCTACAAAAAATTAAAATCACCAAACTCTTACCCAAAAAGAGTTCAATATTCTAGTTCAAACCCATTATATATTTTTTGAATAAATAAATTTTAATAAAATAAACTATCTATATCGAATAAAAACATTCAAAGTGCCAATCATACCACACTTCAATTATGTTGACTTTTGACCAGGCACAGATAATTCTTGTATTCACATGTACACACGTATTCACATGTGCAACTTTAATACAATCATCCTCAGACAAAATCTTTGTTGATATTCCATTGGATTTTTTTTTTTTTTTTCATTTTCACATTCGAAAAACAATCATCGTTCATCATGTTATTACATTCTCTCAGCGGTACTTTTTCTATCTTTCCTTTTTCTAAATAAAAAATAAAAAAAAATCTAAGTTTAAAATATTTCACAATTTTTTTTTCCTTGTTGTTGAGAAAGTTAATATCAAAATTAAATAGAAAGAAATTGGTTTATAATGTCATGAGTTAAACTAATTAATTAATTAGATTCAATTAGTATTAATTTAACACATATACATTATGACTTGATTTATTCATGGATTGAACTCCGATCTATATATACATTCTTCACTGTCCAGTTGTCTTGCCCAATGATGAATACAACTCTAACGAATATATTCAATCACAAAATTTTATAATAAAGCATTCCCACTCTAAGAAAAATCAAATTTAAATCACTAAAACGTGTAGATATTAATTAATTTACCAACGAATTTGTATAGGTAAATTATTAAAATCTATATATGTGTATTTAAGCTGTAGGTATTGAATTAACATAACTACACATATAGATATTTTGTTGTTCAATCTCTTGTAGTGATGTGCATACATCATTACATAATCGTTCTCTCATAATCTTTACTAACTCAAAAAGATTTTGAGATATGAACTGAATTAGCACATACATCAGATCAATTTACTTTAATTTTCTACATGTATTTATCAAGAATAAAGTTTAGTGAATGGAATATGACTTGAATTAGCAGAAGCAACACTAGGGATTGGAATTGAACCACATATTTTACTTATTAGTTAATTAGTGGTTTGATAATTGATTAGGCAAAATTATAAATAATTGGGTAGGTAAGATTATACAAATCTCTCTTAATATAGGGCAAGGTGGAAAGTATGATCTTTTTGAAAATTAATAACTTACACTCAATGTATTGTAGACATTCAATTCAAAAGTATGCATACTTTTTAACTTGTAAGGAACATATGATTCATAAGCATGCAACACATATAGCAATGAAAGAGTCAAAAAAGAAAACCATTCTCCAGCCGGCCTACTTTGCATAGACTTCTCCAATGGTGTGTGGAGAAACTATGGGTGTTAATTGGGTCAACCTTTTAATTTCGGGTTATGTTAATTTTATTAGATCCTTAGGTCTAATAATTCGGATTAATCGATATTTTTGGTTAGGTTCAAAATTCTTGACCTAGCCCTTATTCTAAAATCTCGTATTGTTAGGCTTATCGAATTAGCTTAATTAAAAATTTTGACGTTTTCAAATTAACATTTTAAACTTTCAATTTAAATATACTAGCGCATTTACACTAATAAATCTAAACTTTTATTTCCAAATTCGAACTAAAAATAGTTAATATATACTCACACTATAATTTAATATTTATAGCAAGTTTTTTTTTTTCATTATTTATTTTCATAAGTTCACACATAAACTCCACGTATATTTTATTTTACATCTCTTATGTAACAAAAAATTATAGTATGCAACAACAATATTCGCAATACAAAGCAGTAAAAATACATGTTTAAAATAAAATGTTGAGAGAGATAAGTTTATTCGATAAATAGTATTGTTATCCTTCGTAATGGTGGGAGTACGTAACAAATTTCTTATATTTTTAAAACACTTTTAACCTGACGTCAAATATTATAATTACGTAATTAAATAAATTTAGTTGATTTTCAGACACCTGGAAAAAAGAATCTTACCCCATAAGTGGGATTTACTTGCCCTAATACTATGAAATTGGATTCTATTGACATGAACTTGCCTAAGTCCAAAGGCGGAGTCAGAAATTAAAATTCATGTAATGGGGGCCAGGATCATAGAAAAAATTTACAATACCAATTAACAACAGTACCGGTCATACATGATATCATTATATATACCATGCATAATTATACTATATATTATTGATAATAATTTATAATAATACTTAATGTAATGATTGACATATATTGATGTTAATTGATACTTTATAATTTTCCACATAACACAAAATATGTACAATAACAATGTTGCTAGTCACTCTTTTATCAAACAAAAGTTTTCAATTATTTTGTTGGCAGCATTTTTTTTTTTTTACATAATTAATTGATATTCATTTTACTAATTACCAAAATTTAAGAATGGGGACAAAACTCAAAATCACGAATTAAAAAACCAATATTAACATTAGTTTTTCCAATTTCAAAACTAATCTTGAATTAGCAAATATACATCTTAATTAAAAGTGTAAATAAATAATAAAAATACATAATAACTAACTAATTAAGTAATTGTTTGATTTATTTCTTTTTATTTGGTGAATATGAACCAATGTATGTTTTAGGCTTATATTTAATAATAAATACATAGTAAAATTTTGTAAAAGAAAATTTGAAGGGGTTCAAAAGAGACTTTTTATTCCTAATATAATAATATATATTTAAATATTTATTAAAATTTTTAAGTTAGGGTGGGGGTGGAGTGGGCAAGGCCCCCCACAGCCCCATGTACCTCCGCCCTTACCTAAGTCAGAGATTGCACCAAACATGTGTTCCGCGCGCCCCTGCCTAAGTTAAAGATTACACCGAACATGTGGGAATAATTTTCCACTGCACCCTTTAAATTCATAGGAAAGTTTGAATTTTCTTGACTATCAAATGCCAGGTTAGGTATAATGTGATTGCAGGAAGGGTGACCAATCAAGTGTGATTAGACAACTTGATCTAATATAATAATAAGATAATATAAGTAGGGAAATATGTGATCGATGTTGGATGATCCATAGTGTAGAGTTTGAAGATTTATTTATATTGAACCCAATTTACCTATATTATGATATATAACCCCTTAAAAGTGAGCTAACATGGTGCCCTCTGATTGGCAAGTGTAGCTAGTTGTCTTCTTGGCCAACCGAACTCAAGTCAGTTCTCTACAAGGTCAAGAAAAAGTCACTAGCGTGGATGCTCTTATATAATTTTATTTATGCGTGTGTATATATAATTAATGCGTTATAGATGATGCCTAAAAGTCTAGGTCAAGCAAGAAACCATCAAATCATTAGGTAAAAAGAGTTTGTTAGTTCTTGAGCAATGAATAATCAAATTAAATTATAATAATATGAAAAGAATCTAAAGCTTTAGAATTTAATTTAATTGTGGTCAAAAACAAGAAAGAGATCGAAAGTGAGTGATGATGAGTAATGAGTTAGGCTTGCCAGACAGCAGATAGAGTTTGCACATGGACTGGTACACATTTCAGGGCTGAGGATTATTGGAGATGGAGAAATATAATGTAAGGTGGTTGGGCACTTGATATGATCACTAGTAGGACAGACATATTCATCAACTCAATATATGCTAACCATTGCATGATAAGATATGATCCATTTGATCCTAGCTTGATGGATAGCTATGTGTCTGGCTTAATTTATTAATTAGCCAACAAAACAAAACAATCTTCATTGATTGATTTAGTGTTGTGTCTTATTCATTTTAATGTTTTAGGTTTTAAGTTTTCCTCCTATGACCAATCATTCCTTAATGAATGTTGTCCTTTTCATCTAATCTAGTAATATTCTAGCTTGGAGGGGACCAACATTTCATGTGATCATGGGTTTAATCTCTCTATTAATCCAATTAATTAAGACCCCATTTCCTTTTGTTGTCCTAATGCATGCACGCACCTGTCAATCGTTATACCATGCACCAGGGCGCACATAGAAATGTGCGCCTAGCGCCTCCCAAAACGACGTCGTTTTGTCAATTTCAGGTATAAAATTATGTGCATACTATTATATAATTCTATACATTCAAAACATGGGAATTTTCAGTTATAAAACTGTGTTTTCAGGTATAAAATTCTATGTTTTCAAGTATAAAATTCTGTACATTCTATTATATAATTCTGTACATTCCGAACATGATTTTTTTTAAAGAGTTAAGTTTATGTGTATTATGTTAAGAGTTTATGTATATTATATATTATGTTAGATTATGTGTATTATCCTTTTAAAAAAGATTATGTGTATTCAGTTATAAAATTCTGTGTTTTCAGGTATAAAATTATGTGTATTCTATTATACAATTCTGTACATTCGAAACATGATTTTTTTTGTAAAGAGTTAACAGCAGACACGCGAAAAGGTACAAAACAACGTCGTTTTGGGCCAGGACGCACAATATAATTTGCCTGCACTTGTTGCACTTGTGACCAGGGTCGAATTTTGGGCTGTGCAACAACACAGCGCCTCAAATTTTAGAGGGCCCAATATTTAAATTTTACATAGCTAGTTAAGACATTAAAACAAAATAAAATTACAATTAATCTTAAATGATTCTATGGAGAAAGTATTTCATCTTTAAGGTCATAGGTTTGAATCCTATTTGATACTCTAGCTTTGTGCACACCTTCTATTTTTTTTTTTAAATCCTTTTGCCTTTTTTTTTTTAAAAAAAAAAATTAAAAAAAATTCTTCCACATTATTATTATTATTAGAAAAAATTACGCTATTTGTTTTAAAGATTGTGCTTTTGGTATGGCCTGATTTATTTACAAGAACGGGATCACAAAAATCTAAAAATGGGTCCTCCAATGACCAAATCACAAATCTTAAAAAAGGACTTCTGAAATTCAGTAGTGTTTATCTTTCACATTAGGCCAATGGTTAGACCAACTAGTACACTTTTACATATTTAACATTAAATATTACATATAATTGCATTTTTTCAATAATAAGGATTGAATTACTAGAAAATAAGGAGAATAAGCTAAGAAGATACGCGCACACACATACATACATACATATATATATATATATATATATATATATATATATATATATATATATATATATAGAAGAGCGCTCATATGCGGCGGGGTCTTACGGTGCGGCGGTGCGGTCAAATTCCAGAATACACTAACAGTGTTAACAATATGCACCAACAGTGTAATAAAAACACACCCCAATGAAATGTAATAAAACATCACAAAATACACCACAGACTCAAAAAAACACAACATATAACTCACCACCCCCAATGGTGTATTTCCGAACAGTGTATGGTGTTTTTACTCACACCTAATGGTGTGTGTTTGGTGATGCAGGGCTCTGTTTACTCTGTTTTGTGTGGTGTATTTCCTAACGTTGATGGTGCATATTTGATGAACTATTGGTGTTGCCGCACCGTAAAAAATAACCGCACCGTAAGACACTGTCGCACCTGAACCCGCCTCTCTCTCTCTCTCTCTCTCTCTATATATATATATATATATATATATATATATATATATATATATATATATATATATATATATATATATATATATATATAAGGTCAAATCTAATCTCTTATCATCGAAATATGAGAATGACAAATTAAAACAATAAGCCAACACATTTGCTAATAGATATAACTTTTAGCATAATAATAAGCGTTTAATTCTTACCGTCATGACCAAATCAAAAAAAAAAAAAAAAAAAAAAAAAATAGTCAACGGATCAAAACTATCATTGGTTACTTGTAAGCATGGCTTGTTCTACAATATTGTTTGACACTAGCTAGGATTGATGTTTTTGCTAATGTTTGATGGATTATCTGCAATTTCATAATATCATGGAACGGTCAACAGATCCTCATTCATCACTTTTGAAAAGCTAAGGTTGATCAAAAGATAAAAGCCCCTCAAAAAGTTGAGGTTGATTGCCCGTCGGATCTGGATCATATACATGCATGTACCCCTTTCTTCTAGATCCGATCCATATAATATTTATTATCAACCATAATTCATTATTATTACCAAACAAACATTATATATATATATATATATATATATATATATATATATATATATATATATATATATATATATATATATATATATATATATATATATATATATATATATATATATAGGGAAGGGATCGGGTGCATTTGTGGCTTCCCGTGCGGTTGATTAATGTGCGTGAGTTTTATACTTAATGTGCGTGAGTCTTGTGCTTAATGTGACTGAGATTTGTACTTAATGTGCGTGAGTATGTAATGTTAATGTGCGTGAGTTTTGTACTTAATGTGCCTGAGTATTGTGTTTAATGTGCCTGAGGTTTGTGCTTAATGTGTGTGAATTGAGTTCAGAATTACGAGCTCAGAAAGAAGCAGAACTGAAAGAAAAGGTGGGTGAAGCTTTTCTGATTGTGTGTGAATGGATGGATATATGTAAACGCACATATGGCTGTTCTGATTTTATGTTTTATCTGTACAGGAGAGAGAGAGAAAAGATTGAGAAAGAATGAAAGAAAGACTCCTGTACAGATGTTTTAATCTGTGAGAGCATAAAAGACATTGTGAATGAGGCTGAAACAAAGGAGACTGAGGAGGGTGGTAAGAAAACTCAAAAGGACCCTCAGTATGCAAAGCAAAACAAGAAAAAATTCATTCCTCCACCACTTCGAAACAAAAACAAGAAGAAAATGCAGCCGTGGATGCGCATAATTTTCACAGTAGTGGATGAAGAACACACACATGCACATTAAGCACACAACTCACGCACCTTAGGCACAAGACTCACACATCTTAAGTACAAAATTCACGCACATTAAGTACAAATCTCAGGCACATTAAGCACAAGACTCACGCACATTAAGTACAAATGTCACACACATTAATCAACCGCACTGGAAGCATTCAACCGCTCTGAAACCTGTCACTATATATATATATACTTGAGTTCAAATGAGTACTGGTATATTATAAAGGACTGTGAGGACTAATATGACGTGTGTCATTACTCTATATGTCGTGTGCATGGCCTGATGTAGTCGTTGCCACAGTTTGTATGTCGCGTGCATAGATTTGCTAATTAATAGAGTTTGGGTTTGAAACCTGATGTTTACATGTATTCTTGTGTGTCATTGTGTATTAATTAAGTTTTGTGCCTAATACTAATTTGTTGTGTGCCCCAATATTGGTCCGCACAGTCTCTATGTATTTCATTCCTCATGTGAACTCAATCCTCTCTCTCTCTCTCTCTCTCTCTCTCTCTCTCTCTCTCTCTCTCTCTCTCTCTCTCTCTCTCTCTCTCTCTCTATATATATATATATATATATATATATATATATATATATATATATATATATATATATATATATATATATATATATGCGGTGCAGATAGTTGGACAAATCTGGTTCGTTCAGCTAAGGATGATTAAATGTTGAAAATCAATGAAAACGGGGAAAAATAGGATAATTTGTATTTTTCTATAAGTATGATTGTGCATTATTTGAAAATGTTTGTCAGTGCATTCACGAATAATCGAAAGTGCATTTTGAAACTCTTGTTGTGACACGAAGGTGGAAGGTGATGGAGAATCAAGTAGTGCCTTCTGTGCACTCAAAATATTTCCAAATGCATTGTCAAGCTAGATCTCTAAATGCACAATCGTGATTACAAAAAATTACATAACAATTGTGCATTTAGAAATGCTTGATAGTGCATTTAGAAACTGTTGTGGTGACACTATTGAGGAAGGTGATGAGAATCAGGTAATGTCTTTCGTGCACTCTAAACATTTCTAAATACACTGTCAAGCATTTTAAATGTTCAATCATAATTACATAAAGTGAGGGAGCAACCTCTCAAAGTGAGGGGGGCTCCTTGTGCGCAGTGAGCATCGATCTAGCCTCTGTGGTTCATGTTCAGTTGAGTCACCATGATTTACATCCCCCCAAATGCTCTGTCGTGCCGGGGTGTGGGGGACCCTTAGGGTTGCGGTTCAGCCTTTGACAGAATAATTACATAAAAAATTATAAAAATATCACCGCATTTATTTCTTGTCATTGATTAATTTTCAGCATTTGATCATCCTTTAATAGACAGATCAAACTTATCATATGCGCACCTAAAGTAGACCCTATATACACACTGCCTAACTGATTGATGATCTTTATGAGTCAACCCCTTGGTGGGAATTTTAGGTTTCTTAAGCGTATAAAAAAATGCTTCTTCATCTATTAAAGTATATATTATTGATGTTAATTAATGCGTGTGTTCTTTGCATGCCTTTTTTTTTTTTTTGTTATTCACGTTATTGAACAAAATATGTGTAATTATTCTTTAGAGAAAAGATTATTAAAAAAAAAATAAAATCTTTAGAGAAAAGTGAAGGTCAATGCTATGGCAAATGAGAAATTTGTGGTATGACAACCATCGCTCCTAAAATCAAGGAAATTGAGTTTGAATTTTTAACCCAGAAAAGAATTAATTACAATTGGACCGACGACCCTAGATGACTTCCACATATATTCCAAAGAAAAATTAGTGAAAGCATTGACGAGAACATATTATCTTTCACGAAAATAGTAATCTTTCATTTATTTCAAAGATAATTAATTTGTGGATATGAAGGTTCCTATAACACATACAGGGCAATTTTGATTTACAGGAAAGTCCAAACTTATCATGTACCATAAGGTAAACCAATCTAGATTGGTCATAATGACAATTTGTATCATGGATTAAGGTTCACATAGTATTATGAATACTGAATCGAAACGACGAGGTACATAATTTATACTCGTAACGTACAGAATTTCATAACACAAGACACAAAAATCACAACACAAGACACATACACATGTTATATACATACTTATTTTTTAAATCTGATTTAGATACATAATTTGTGTTCATAGGTACAGAATTTCACAACAAAGATACATAAATTCATAACATAAGACACAATTACTAATTTGTTTCAGATACAAAATTCATACTCTTAAGGTACACAATTTTATAACACAATGCACAAAAACTCACAGCATAAGATACATACACATGCACTAGGGTCCACAATGCACTGTGACTCTAGTCCATAGTATAAGGATTAGGTCATAACTGACCGATTCAAATCACAAAGTTAACTATTCAGCAAACTTTGCTGAACTGTCCTACCAAACCTGATCGAGTAACTGACCTAGGTTTGTTATAACTGATCGATTCAAATCAAGAAATTAACTGCTAGATCAACTCGGCTAGGTTGTCCTCCCGAAACGGAGTAATAATTAGACTATACATACAGCAGAACAAGTTGGTTGGAGTACGTGATGGTGAAGGAACTAGGTGGGGGGTGGGGGATGGTTTAGTACAAGCAGAATAATTGTTTTCCTACAAAATTAGAGCTAAGACAAAAACCCTTTACTGCAAGTTGCTAACAATAATGAATTCTTTCCATATTTCTGGAACTCATCTCCCCCAACTTGCATGCTCTTTACATCATGCGTCATGTCTCACATACACATACTATTTGATGTTGATTTATCTAATTAACTCACATATATATAGTATATATTTGTATATATATAATCAACGAATATAAGAAGTTTTGGTACGTAGTTATCATAATTTACACGGTAATACCCATGGAGATGTGGATGAGATAACGCCAGTCTCTTTCAGTTTAACCAGAGTCTCTCAAGTGGTTCTACTTGGCACGATCAGGATCAATCTCGATGTCTGGTTGTTAGTCAATTGGTTAAGGACGCATACATATGATCATACCAAAATAAT